CTCATCCATTGCACTCCGGGTGTGCTGACCCCTGCTATTTCCCCAAATGCAGGAAACTCGACTGCATAATTTGTGGTAGTTACTAAACATTTAATACTCTCCATTAAAAGGAGGTGTGTGAATCTGTGGAGGTCGATCAAGATGGGCAGCCCGTTCTTAGTCTGTAGCAACAGAAAAGAGCAAGAGTCCAGTAGCACCTAAAGACTAACAAAATATGTGGCAGGGTCACTGCTTCAGATATCTGAAGAAGTGAGCAGTGACTCCCAAAAGCTCATCCCTTGCCACATATTTTGTTAATCTTTAAGCTGCTTCTGCACCCTTGTTCTTTTCTGGTGACTTGTGTGTGTGTGTGTGTGTGTGTGTGTCTGGAAGACAGTAACAATAATGAAGCTACTTTCCTTTCAGAATCAGAAGTGGTACAAGAATTAACAGTTTCCAGATGAAATGGGTATTGTCACCCTCTCAGTGGCAAAATTCATAGGCGCAATAATCAAATATAAGAGAAATAATACTAAGGTCTTTTAAAATATTTTCTTCGGTTCTGATTTCTGCTTACGGTGATAGACGTATGAGCATAGATAGATGATAGATAGATAGATAGATAGATAGATAGATAGATAGATATAGATAGATGATTGATAGATAGATGATAGATGATTGATAGATAGATGATAGATGATAGATAGATAGATGATAGATAGATAGATGATTGATAGATAGATAGATGATAGATGATTGCTAGATAGATAGATAGATAGATAGATAGATAGATAGATAGATAGATAGATGATTGCTAGATAGATGGACCCCAGTTAAGCCAAATGGGGACGTCCGGATCTGCACGGACTATAAGTGCACACTTAACAAATCACTACAAGACCACGCGTACCCGGTACCGGTGGTCAGCCACGTGTTGGCGGCACTTTCAAGGGCTCGCATATTCGGTAAGCTAGACTTGGCTCAGGCTTATCAACAGCTGCCAGTGGACGCCGCCACAGCAGAGGCCCAGACCATCGCCACTCACAAGGGGGCTTTCAGGGTTCACCGTCTCCAGTTCGGGGTTTCCGTGGCGCCGGGGATTCTTCAATCTTTTATGGACTCTCTTTTAAAAGGCATCCCCGGTGTGCAACCCTTTTTAGATGACGTGTTGATCGCCGCCCCCGACGCCGCCACGTTTGCCGACCGCCTCCGCACCGTCCTGCAACGCTTCGACCAGGCCGGACTGAAGGTGAAACGGGAAAAGTGCCTGCTGGGAGTCCCCAAGGTGGAGTTCCTGGGGTTTGCGGTCGACGCACAAGGCATCCATCCCACGGCGGAGAAGACGGCGGCGATAACGAACGCACCAGCCCCCTCGTCCAAGACGGAACTGCAGGCCTTCCTAGGCCTCCTTAATTTTTATCATTCCTTCCTTCCCCTAAAGGCTGCGGTAGCGGAACCCCTCCACCGGCTCCTGGACAAGGGCGCACCATGGGTCTGGGGCTACTGCAGGCCTTCCTAGGCCTCCTTAATTTTTATCATTCCTTCCTTCCCCTAAAGGCTGCGGTAGCGGAACCCCTCCACCGGCTCCTGGACAAGGGCGCACCATGGGTCTGGGGCCCGGCTCAGGAGGCGGCGTTCAA